CACCCCATATAAAGTTCCTCTGCAGTGATTCAATCTCTTTACATACATGTACTGGTATCAAGTTGTTCTGCATATGGTAACAGGGAATGGCTGAGATGACACTTCTAGCCAAAGTGATTCTTCCTGCCATAGAAAGGCACTTGGTCTTCCAGCCCTGCAGCCTCGATTGAACCCTGGCTTTGACTTCCGAGTAGTGTCCCCTTCCTATTCTGCCATGCCTGAGCAAAGCTCCTAGGTATCTGCCAAGATTTTTGACAGTTTTGAACCCACTGACATCAGCAATAGACTGCATGGTTTCCACATTCGTGTTTTTAGAGAAGTAGATGCAAGACTTCTCAAAGCTAACACATTGACCAGACATTTTTGAAAACTTGGCTAGGCAATTGATGATACAGCTGAGTTGGCTTAAGGAAGCTTCTGCAAACAAAATTATATCATCAGCAAACATGACATGAGAAATTTGAGGTCCAGATCTGCCAGCTCTAATGGGATTCCAAGCTTTACCCTCCACTTCATCCATGATCAAGTGTGTCAGCTTCTCCATACACAGAACAAAAATATAGGGTGATAGAGGGTCCCCTTGTCTTATTCCCCTTTGAGATTGAAAGCTAGGAGTTCTGGAACTATTCCATAGCACCTCCATAGTTGGACTGGTTACACAACCCATGATAGCTTCCACCAATGATCCAGGAAACTTCAATTCCACCAAAACTGATCTAATAAATTTCCAACTCAGTTTGTCATAGGCTTTTTCTAAATCAATCTTGATGGAGAAGAATCCCTTTCTACCTGTCATCATGTGCATAGTGTGAATGAGTTCTTGGACAATGATTATATTGTCCTGAATGTGTCTCTTAGGCACAAAACTGGCCTGATTTGGGGATATCAACTCTTCCAGCATAGGTTTTATTCTATTAGCCAGAATCTTGCTGAAACCTTTATATATGGTATTGCAGAGAGCTATAGGCCTGAACTGCTTCATCAGGCATGGCCTTTCCACTTTCGGGACTAGAACAAGGAGGGTGTGGTTTATCTCCCCAAGCTTATCTGGGTGTTTCAAGTAATACTGCATGCTGATATTGACTTGATCTTTAAGCATCTCCCAAAATTTTTGATAGAACATTGCTGGATACCCATCAGCCCCTGGGGCTTTTAAAGGAGGCATTTGAAAGAATGCTTTTCTCACTTCTTCTTCAGTTACCCCTGCTGCCAATCCCTCACTATGATCCTCCCTAAGCTTCGGCCAGGAGTTAGTGGTTTGGATCCAGAAATCTTCATCCTCAGCTTTCTTGAACAGATTAATAAAGAAACCCCTTGCTAGATCAATTAGCTGTTCTTCTTCAGATACCCAGTAGCCCTTATCATCTTGAAGTTTCAAAATCTTATTCCTTTTCCTCCGGATGACAGTACTAGTGTGATAAAACCTAGTATTCCTATCTCCATCTCTTATCCACTCACCCCTGGATTTCTGGAACCAGATTTGTTCCTCTAAATCAAGGATGTCTTCAAGCTCCTTCTTTAAACTAGCTTCCAATTCCTCAAATTGACAGTTGTTGTAAGAGCTAAAACTCTTCTGGATTCCCTCCATTCTGGCAATAATCCTGTTCTTCCTTAAATGAGTGAAACCAAAAATGTTCTTATTCCAATCTTTCAGCTTAGGAACAAGAGCATTTAGGTTATCCAGCAACCCAACAGAAGAAGACCAACTAGCTTTTAGGAAAGGTAAAAATCTTGAGTCATTTTGCCAAGCAGCCAAATACCTAAAAGGCCTTTCTTTCCAGTTACTATCCTCTTTTATCAATCTGACTAGAATAGGATTATGATCCGAAAATAGCCTAGGCAATGTGATAACATCAGCCTCCTCAAAAGCAGCTCTCCAAACCTCATTGCCCACTGCTCTGTCTAGTCTTTTAAAAACTCTTTCTAAGTGTAAGAATTTTCGGCCCTTTCCAAGTGAATCTATTGCCTCCCCCTCCTAAATCCAAAACCCCACAAGAGTTGAGCATATTAGCAAACTGATTGCACCTATTAGTATCCACAGGACCTCCTCCTTTTTTCTCGGAGGCCATAGCTACCTCATTAAAGTCACCAGTCAGAAGCCAAGGTTCATCCATACCCCTTCCCAGATGTTTAAGTTCCTCCCAAAGCAACTGACGAATCCTTACTTGAGGGCTTGCATAGACAGCAGTCCAATAAAATCCCTTCATCTGGAAAGTCCACCCACACATGAACAAACTGTTCATGTTTGGCAACTAGCTTTATTTCAACATCCCTACTATTCCATAACAACCAAATACCACCAGCAAAGCCATGTGCATCAACAATTATATAGTTAGAGAAACCTAAGCTACGTATTATTTTAATAGCTTTAGAGCCACTCACTCTAGGTTCAAGAATGGCAGCCACTCCTATACGATATTTCCTACAGAATCTGGAAAAAATATTCTTAAACTGTTTTTTTGCTGCTCCCCTACAGTTCCAAGTAAAAACATTCATTATGAAGACTGATTAATTTGCAAGTTTTCAAAGCACTTGCTGCTTAACACATGCTTATCAGAGCAAGCTATCCTAGTTACAGACATCTCCTTATCATCAACATGCTCACAGACGACAGCCATAAGAGAGTTATCAGGTTCTTTATGAGAGTTAACAGGTTTTACATGAGTAAGTTCAAACTCCATACCTGATTGACTCACCCCCTCCTTACTAACCACAAGCAAAACTGGATCAGGAGGTTCTGGCTCAACTCCAACATCTTCAAAGCACACATGCTCTTCTGCCTTTTTCTCCTCAAACTGATCCCCATCTCCCTTCTCCAAAGGGCCTTCTACATCCATCATCAAGTCTCCCCAAAGTTTCCTTTTGCTCTGTTCCCCACTTTTCTGGCCTTGCACCACCTTAGGAAGTTGCCCCACCGACAAGCTAACTGAAGCCACACTAGCAGGGCTATGAACAGCAGCTCCTTTGCCTTTGTTAATTGTCTTCTTGACAACTTGATTTTTGTTTGAGAATACAGTATTTTTTCCACCAGCCTTCCTAGGTTGATTTGATACTTCAGCTGCGAATTCCATCCCCCCAATAGGGGTTTTAGCTTGACACCTCCCATTCTCATTCTCCTTATACACTGGATTGCTAATGATACCTTCTACAGATCCCTTCGCTGGCCCTGTCTCCTGACTGGTTGCAGTATGCCTATCTGGCTTCTCACTCTCCTTTGTACTCTTCTTATTAGAGATATCCTCTCCGAATTTCCTACTAATTGGAGTCTCCTTATTCTGGTAGTTCTGCTGATTTCTCTTCCTCCTCTGGACCACCATCCAGGGCCCCAAGCCTTGATTATGTTGTTCTACCACCACTTGATGTGCAGGACCACACTCCTCTGTACTCGGTTGCTTAGGCTTGGCATACTCAGGGCACGATTCAGCATTGTGCCCATATTTACCACATTTGAGGCAAATAAGAAATAGACCTTCGTACTCCACTTTCTTTCTACAGCCGTCAAGAATATATTCTCCACGCAGTGGCTTTGAGAGGTCCATTTCAATGCATATTCTCGCAAATCTGGCCCTATCCCCTGTAGATGTTGTTCTATCCACCTTCAGAACCTTCCCAATAACAGTTCCCAGTTGGCTCAGGAAAGGAAATTCGCAATACTCTTGAGGCACTCCAGGGAGACGAACCCATGCCGCTACCTTGTGTATATTTGCTTTGTCAGGATCAAAGCAAGGTTCCCATTTTCGCGTAGCAAGGTAGTGGCCTAGGATAATCCAGGGACCACCAGTGATGGCTAGATTAAGGTCCTCAAGTGAGCTGAACCTCACCGAGAAGAAATCATTCCCTAGATCTGCCACTGTAATGCCACCAGCTTTGGCCCAAAGAGATTCGAGCCTCTTTTTCATAAAACCCACCCCAATTTTCTTCCCCAGCAGCTTAACTATTAAGGCGTTCCTCCACCGTTGACGCATTCTCGCCCTTGCTTCCTTGTTACTCCTAATCTCCACTGATCCGTCTTCTCTGTAGATCGTCTGGAAACCCCAAGCTGAGATCTCACCCAAGCTTGGGTCCAAAGGCTCCAAATCTGGCTCCTCTTCATCGATCAACCAGGGTAAAGAGTCTCCAGCCACTCCGTTTTCCTCCCCGGTGACCTCAGCAAAGGATCGAGTCTTAGCTTTCCCTGATTCATCAGATTGAAAATTCTTGACCGCTTCCCTCATTCGCACCTCAGTCTGAATCTCCACTCCATTCTTCGTCCTCTTAGTGCTCTTCCGCGTCATCAGCAGCGCATCATCACTCACTACCTCAGATTCCTCCATTTCAGATCCCCAAAAGAGAAACTCACAAAAAACCCTAGCAGACGTAAAAAAATCGCACGCGTGAGACGACGCGCCTAACCCATAAGGATATTCTTTTCTTGCCTAGATTTACTATTCTGGTTTATTAAGTGTAATATGTAAAAAATGGTTGAACACATTATGGCTATGTGGAACTTCAAGGAACACACACCTTACTAAAAACAGGCACCTTACTAAAAGTAACAAGAAAAGAAATGCCATTTAATGGCGAAGGCTCACTTGGGTCCCATCGTGTTACTTTTGTGGACCTCTTCCTTGCGCATTCGAAAGCATATTATACCATTTTGGATTGAGGAAGTTAGAAGAAAAAATAGAATTAAAAGGGGAAGAAAGTTTAAGTATTGCTTTCCAATTTACGAGAAAATTTTACTACTTGTAATTGTATTTGTGGGTTTATGATGTTAAATAAGAAAAATGATATGAGCCTGTGTTGTAATTGATGTGGATGTAGCATGAGATTATATTCACTCAAAATATATTATACTATATGAACAAAATTAATTGCACTTTTTTAAACTTAATTATAACTAATGTCTCATAAAAATAAATTAATTTTCATGCTTTATGATTTAATTAGTGTTTCCAAAACTACAGGACTAATTTTATTTATTTATTTTCCCAATAACAACATTTGGGGTTTGTGGTGATCTTAATAAAAACAGAGAGAAAAAGTGAAAGAACTCACCACAAACATCAAAGACTAAAAAACCCCAATGGATTTGAATTCCTCTCCTTCCAATTCCAACAACACAATTGCTGTGAATGGAACAATACCTGTTGTTTCCACCTTGGCCACTGCTACCATCACCACCACCACCCCTTTGGAAAACCCTTCTCCGGTCAACGGTTCCGGTGACCGGAAACCCATCGCCTTGTGGCCGGGGATGTACCATTCTCCGGTGACAACCGCTCTATGGGAAGCAAGGAGCAAGATTTTCGAGAGGCTTCTTGACCCACCAAGGGATGCTCCCCCCCAGAGTGAATTGCTCAACAAAACGCCTTCACAGAGCAGGACCAGCATCCTCTACAATTTCTCATCTGATTTTGTTCTTAGAGAACAGTATAGGGATCCCTGGAATGAGGTCCGAATTGGGAAGTTGCTTGAAGATCTTGATGCCTTAGCTGGAACTATTTCTGTCAAGGTCCCATTTTAAAGTTTCAATTTTTTTGTTTTCCCCTTCTTTTTAACTTTTTTTAATTTTGTGTTATTTGGAATTTTTTAGGTTTTTATAGAAACTTATTATGTGGGTATTGCTTCTAAGTTGGAATGTAAATGATGAAGGGGATGAACTTCAAACTAGGATTGTACTTTGATGACAGGGCATTTGTGGTTTCAGCGTTTTTTTTTTTTGTTAATTTATTTTCAGTTGTGTTTTCTGAATTTTTTAGGTTTTCATTGGACTTGATTATGGGGGTAGTACTATGATTACATGGTCAAGTAGGGATGTAAATGGTGATGAGGTTGAACTTTAAACTTGGTTGTACTTTGATGAAAGGAGTTTGTCGTAAATGACTTGTTTGTTATGTAATAGGTCAAATGTAGTTTGATACTTACATTCAAGAAGTTTTGACATGAACATTCATTTAAATTCGGAAACCTGAACTGGGTATTGCACTAAGTAGATTTTGACCTTTCTTGCAATGAGCTGATTTGCTACTGACTAGCTTGCTTATGTTATTTTGAACTAAATGACTCCATTGTAAATTTTAATCAAGATTTCATGTACCTATTGGACTGAGTTATTTCCTCTTTGTTTGGGGAATAGCACTGTTCTGATGAAGCCGGCACAACCAGGCCACTTATAGTTGTCACTGCTTCTGTCGATAAGATTGTGCTAAAGAAGCCAATTAGTGTTGACATTGATCTCAAAATAGTTGGTTCTGTTATATGGGTTGGGCGCTCCTCAATAGAGATTCAAATGGTGGTTACTCAGTCCAAAGAAGGTACATTTCTTAGGGCTCACACATATCTCTGACAATTTGAGTAATTGATGGTCTCCAAGCTTAAAACAAACTAGTTTCTTAATTTCTCTTTGCCTCCAATGACATTGTTCAACATGTTGTACAAACCTTAAAAGCAAAAAAGATTCTCATTGTGTCCTCGTAACATTTATTTCTGGTGTTGTTGCACAAACTTTCATTGTAGAGTAATGTCATTTTCATTTTTTAATTTCCTAAACATTTTCTTAGATTCTCATTTTTTTTTCATATTAAACCACACTTGCTCCATAACCCATGCATCATCAAAATGCATGCAGAGGGCAGCGATTCAGACTCAGTAGCACTAACAGCCAACTTCATATTTGTTGCCCGAGATTCAAAAACTGGGAAGGCTGCTCCAGTGAATCGAATTTCACCAGAAACTGCTCATGAAAAACTTCTTTATGAACAAGCTCAAGCAAGAAATAATTTGAAAAAAAGGAAAAGAGAAGGGGAAAAGAGGGACTTTCAAAATGGGGAAGAAAATAGACTTCAGCCCCTATTGGCTGAGGGAAGAATTTTCTGTGACATGCCAGCCTTAGCTGATCGAGACAGCATTCTTCTGAGGGATACCAGCCTTGAGAACTCTTTAATGTGCCAACCACAGCAAAGGAACATCCATGGTCGAATATTTGGAGGCTTCTTGATGCATCGTGCATTTGAATTGGCTTTCTCAACAGCATATACCTTTGCTGGACTAGTTCCTTGCTTTCTAGAAGTTGATCATGTTGATTTCCTAAGACCTGTGAGTATTTTCTCCATTCCTTCAAAAATATCATAATTTGACTGTTACATAAATCTGTACACATCTGGAACAATCTTTGAAATTTCTTTAGCCAATTTAAATTCAACTACAGTTACTTGGAAAAAATATGATTCAGGAGTTTCATATTGTTTGAATAGACATCCAAAATCTAGAGTAATTTCTTTGTCGCTTATGTGTTTTGAGTCTGTGAAACAAGGGGAAGGGAAGTATTACAAATTACAGAGGTTTTTTTTTTTTACTGTTAATTTTGTGATATTGTTTGTGGCTCGAATTGTAATTAAGAGACCAAGCCTAGAGCAGTGATAAAATTGACTCTGTGTGATTGATAGGTCACCGGTTTGAATTCAGAAAACAATCTCTTTGCTAGAAGTGAAAGGATAAAGTTGCATGGATAGATTTCTCTTACCTCTACCCCCAAGTCGGGGTTCATGGATAGTGGGTTTTTTGTGTGTGATTCTAGCACCTTATGTGTACTTACAATATTTCATACATAATGATCCTTCAAATGTGTTTCGGCTCTTGTATTTCCCTAGCACCCATCTCCTTCCTGAAACTTTTTTTACCTATATTTTTAATGTTTCTAAAGGATAAAAATAATGAAAATCAAACAATTGGCCAGTCTCATATGTATTAAAGAAAGGGAACTATTGAGCAGGTTGATGTAGGGGATTTCTTGCGTCTCAAATCCTGTGTTCTGTACACTGAACTTCACGATCCAGATCAGCCACTTATCAATGTTGAAGTTGTTGCTCATGTTACAAGACCTGAGCTGCGATCGAGTGAGGTTAGTCTCATTAACTGTTCTTTAGACAATACATAATCATTAGTCAGTTGCTCTTTCATTCTTGCAACTTCCGAGTTACTGAAGATTGTAATAAGCTTTGTCTGTTCTGTTGTATTATGTGAATACAGGTATCAAACACTTTCCATTTCACTTTCACAGTACGTCCAGAGGCAAAGGCAATGAAAAATGGATTCAAGCTTCGAAATGTAGTACCAGCAACGGAGGAAGAAGCACGCCGTATATTAGAGCGCATAGATGCTGACAACTTGAATGAATTCTTCAGAACATAAGAAGAGAAACAACAATTAGCTGGTAAACTATTTAAAACATCTACTACTACTAATTATGTGAGCAGAAGTTCAAAGATTAGCTCTTATATAATAAATTTACCGTCCAATCATTGAGGGCTCAAGTTTGCCTTATATATCTGGCATCATAGGACTTGATAGAAGGTAACTGGCTCTTAGATAACATGTATATGAAACTTATTTCAGTAGGCACCTGCTCATATAATAGATGAAGACTATATTGTCTGGCGTGAATTTATCTACCTCCTAGCTTGTTTGTCTTCACATGTTTATTGTAATTTTAAACCTTGATTAAGCAGCTTTGTGAACTTAAGAGCTGTGCAAGTAGCATGAAGAAAAGCGTTGAAGTAATAAATTCATGAAAGAAAACATTCAATGTATTCATTCAGTCCAAAAATAACATCAATGATGGCTATAATGGATGCCACGTTTATTAGGCACTTAGGCATATAAATCAAGTGATCCCAAGGTGTTTTAGGATATTACTGCTTGAAGTCTAAATCAGATAGTTTTACATGCACTTTAGTTCACCTTCCATAGAATAGTGTCTCATTTTTAGCCAGAAGACAAACTGCACTATTTTGCCGTTTACCTCTTTATTTGGTCCATTGTAGTTCACTAAACTACACTATCCGCATCATTTTCGTGGCATCTGGTGCTGGCAAATGTGATAATGCATAGAACATTGAAGTTGTTTTCAAATGAAGAAGTAATCAGAGAATGGCAGTGAATTACATAAAGGGGTTTTGCATTTGTTATTTAACATGACACAACAAACTTTCCTACGCACACAATATTTTGTGGGGTCCACACTTTTTGAAGAAAAAAAAAAAGAAAAAAAAGAAATTACGGCACGCAAAACGAATCTCTATAACATTATACAATTACTTTTCTTACAACATAACTCTTATAAAACCTTTACATAAATTCCTTCCTCGGGTTTTGGGAGGGAATTTTTTATATTTAAGTCAGATGTTTATGCGCCTCATATGTATGTCCAAAAATTTTACATTTGAGCCAAATGTTAGTATACTAAATGCTTGTCAAATTAAATTCATTAAAATATTCTATGAATTTAGAATTGTTGATTTTGCTTTCATGTTTTTTTTTTTTTTACAAACTCATTCATTCGTATTAATAAAACTTGTTCAACTTATGAATTAATAGAAAATCTATATAATAACGAGAAAATTATTGATGCGTTCAATTGTTAAAACCTTATTGATCCATATAACATGACAAGATTTTACAATTGTACATCAACCCTCTTTTTTTGTGGTAAATACGTCAACGCTCTTTTAATTGGGTTTTATTAGTCTTCTTTTTACAGAAAAAAAGATATCTTATGTGCCAGACACAAACCAGCCATGGGTCCCACTTAAAAAAAAAACATGAAATAATAAAAATAAAAAATATAAGTAGACCCTACACCTTTTTCTTCGACAGAAAATTAATAAAGCCCTTTTTAATTTGAGGTAAGCATGAGAAATTAAGTCGTCATATATCTACGACAAAGAATCTTGAGCAATGACGAACTATAATTTTTTTATTCATGTAATAGAAATCATATAATAAGAACAAGAATTTCTTTTTCTTTTTTTTTTCCTTTTTCATACAACAGACAAACGTTTAGAGTGTGTTTGGAATAAATTGTTTTGGAAATTGACTTAATTTTTTAAAAAATAATTAGTCGATTGCCTAACTCTCATTTATTTATTAATACTCTTCTCTCATTGTTTTTAAACAAAAACGACATTTTAGCTAAAAAAATTATGTGCAACATTTTGAATTTTGATGGTGTGGCAACTCCAATTGCAAGCAAAGGTTCTCTCTAACTGAAAATTGAAAAGCTCACAAAAAACAAAAAACAAAAAAAAAATTTGAAAAGCTCTGTACATGCTCATAACATATCCTATTCATATAAGGCTAGTTTCCCAAAAAGAAAACCTTCTACTCTCTTTCTCTCTATATGATCTACATAAACTGAAAACTTTTACAAATTAACAAGAAAAAAAAAATTTACAACAATTTGACCAGCCAAAATCAACTGGTTCCAACTTATAGGTTGCCTTTAGAAGATGCAGCCAAGAAGCCACTCACATGAGTGATATAGCTAAGGTTATGGACTGTCATCACCTGAAGAGTTATCACACTGTTGTCTTCCATGTAATCCAGGAAGGGGTTGTGGAAGCATTGGGTTAACTGGAACAGGGAATTTATGGGCTGAACTAACCATGGTTCGCTCATTTATCATACCAACTTCTTTGCAAACTCGGTCAAGAACTGCTAAAAAGTCTCTTACAACCATAAAGATTCTAAATGGATGAGCTTCTTCCTTTGTCAAGTTCCCATGAAAATACTCAGTTATCTCCTTCACAAGGGACAAAGCAACACTTTCTTGGGCTTGAATTTTTGGAATTTCCTCCTCAGCCATTCTAATGAATTTGTTCATTGATTCTGTAAATTTATGACTGCTTTCATCTGATCCTGCCATTTTATTTAATTGCATAACCTCTGCAATGTTTGCAATTCCTTTGGAAAGTTTAAGGACATCACTGCTGAGAACTTCAGAATCCATAGCAGCAGCCTTCTTCACATTTGCTAGCTCTGAACTCAGATTAGATACAACTTGTAGGCCAAGCTTCCTACACTTGGCATCTTCACTCAAAGTAGAGCTTGAACTTTGGTTAGTACCAGAGAGACGAACACCTTCAGTTCTAATAATTTCCTGTACAACAAAATGCAGTAGTGTTGTTTTCCCATCTGCTCCTTTGACATCAGCCAGTTTGATAAGTGTATCAAGTTTGAAGGCTTGTGCATCACCACGGTTTGTCCCCACATTCATGCGGTTCCCAGTTTTAAGTACAGCCTCAAGAAGCTTCAAGAACATTCTACAATTTCGCAGCTCTTCACAGGCAGCCTGCAAAAGCAACAATCAAAAGATGGGCTGAAACGAGAACTCATGACATACAAGAGAAGCTTCCTGACAAATAACAGGGACATTACTGGATTTTGCTTGAAGAAAACTATGATAAATTAGCACAACTAGAGAATAATATAGAGACAAGAGTGAATTGAAAACATATTATGATGGTACTGGCATTTAAGATGGAAGCAAATTGTTAAAGAAGTACACTGGGTAAGCATAACAAGAATTAAAATGGGCTCACACCTACGGCATACCTGTTCAATAAATTTTACACGTTTAAGCCAAAAATATCAGAAACAAGAGTTCATCCTCAGTATTCAATAATTCTCATAATTGCAAAAAACTAACTTCATATCAAATATAAAAAAAATGTTTAAATAACTTCTCATGTTTATAGCATGAGTAATCCTCAAGAAATGAATAAACCGGTAAGAGCGTGACTGATTACCTCAAGAGTCTGAAAGGATTTCCTAAGATACTCCACTTCAGACTCAAAATTGACTACGTACAGCATTGCTTCAACCCTTTTAAATGCGAAAGGTACATCAAGCACTGCCTTCAAAAATTTCTCAGCTAGACCAAGCTTGGTTGGTGAGTCATCTTTATGCTCCTTCAATTTACGTTCTTCTTCCTTGCTTGGTGCCATTTTTAACAAGCTTTCAAGTAATTCTGTTCCAATTGTATCGGTACTACCTGTAGAAAGGTCAATTGATTTAGTTGCACATTCAATACCAATGTAGAAATTTGAAGGTGGTGGAGACTTGCAGCCAATTAGCAAACTCTTATGCACAATAACATAACTATTTAAAGACAAAGCTGTAATAATTCATTTTTGTACACAGAAAAGAAAGGCAGAGAAATCTCTACCAGTTGGTAAACCTTGAGAATAAATGATATCTGTAACTAAATAATAACACTGATCTTGTGTCTCTTGTACCCCAAAAAAATGATGTATGATTATTATAAGAATCTATGCTTTGAGTAAGCAGAGGAAAGAAGGAATACAACTACAAATATTACGCTGAAATACAGCAGCAAGTCAGCTTAACAAAATTGTTCACTAGCTTCAAGTGGGATTTCATAATCACAGATAATCATCAGTCTACATTTTTATTTATAATTGTAAATGAGAAACATACATATCATTCCTCTCAAGAAAGACTGCACCTAATTTCTACACTAAAACTAATACAAAAGGAAAAAGATATTGCGTGCCAAAATAGTGTAAACCAATCTTGCTGTTATTTATATTATTACAAATCTTATCTATTTATTGTTTAACATTGTGACGTTCACAAGTTCATTCCACAGTAAAAGAAAGGGATTGTCAAAAGTTCTTAACAACTCATTGACTACTAAATATTTCTCTTCTATTCTTTTAATAATCCCCAATGTGCCCGAGTAGTAGTTCAATTACAGGTCCAATCATTAGGTACCAGTCTACAACAAAAACTACAGAAAATTAAATCTTATCCTCAGGCCGGAATGAGAAAATACCTTCTAAAAGTGCTTCACACACTTCCTCTATTGTGACATTGAGAGCTCTCAGCAAGATTGCAATATTTTGGGACTTTTTGGGATCAAGAACTCTGTCCTCCTGATTTGGCGGGAGAAGAACTGAGTGTGGAGTAGCATCCTTGGACTTTGAGTTTGGTGTGTTCACAACAAACAATGTTTCAATCATTTCCTCATTCAATCTGCAGCCAACCCAATTCGATGCACTTAATTCAAGAACACCGATTGCAGCATATACACAAGAATTGTAAACTACAAAGTGCTATTCACAAGTCATAACCATATTGTACAAACTGAGATTAACAGTTCAAGAATAAGATTTCCATGAAAAATTGTTCAAAAGCACCATGAAATTTTCACAACCAATTTCAAGGGAATACTAAACTGACAAAGAGATATCTAAAAGGCTAAAAAGCTAATAAACATTAGAGGGTTTATAATGAGAATTGAGAATCTTACTTAAACGAGCTCGACTTCAGCTGATCCCACACCATTTCACGATCAGAGCTTGTTCTAACTTTGTCCCAATGAAGGGGCTTCAGCTTGGGTTTCAAGGTCTCTTCAATTTCCCCCAAACTCGGAGGCAACTCAACAGGGGAAACACTCGTTGGCTTTTGCAACACAAAAGGCCTCAAAGGAGGTACTAATTCCGGTGGCCGTAAAATGGGTTGACCAACAGGAGTTGAGGGACCTGGCACTTCCCAGTGCTTCCGCTGCCGCTGCAAGGGTGGTGGTGGTGGTGGTGGCGGCGGCGGCGGCGGCACTGGAATCTTCCAGTGCTTCCTCTGTGGAGTAGCTGGGAATGCTGCAATGTGATCCATAACATTGTCAACACTTGCTGATTGAGCAAAGGGTGTTGTTGTTGATAGTACAGGAATGTCCCAGTGTTTCCTCTGTGCCACAGCCACGCCATCACCATCAGCAACTGTTGAAGTGCCATTAAGTGCTCTTTCAGTTTCTGGTGACAAAACCAGGGCGGGTGATAAAGGCAGTGATGACAAACCCGGTAACCTTAACCCGTCGGAGACACTGGACATCCTCGGAGACTGATCCAAACTGTGATGATGCATCACCTTCTCCGGTGAAGAGGGCAGAGAAAAAGCTGAAGATGATGATATGGACTTTCTACTTCCATTGGAAGCATTAGATAACCTTAGTGATGGTGATGGTGATGGTGATGGTGATGTATCTTCTTTTTTCTCCAAAATTCTCTCATGTGAGGACGATGCACGTGCATTTGTTTCATCTTCAACGAAAGCTCTCTCTGGTGTTGAGCATGATGAACACAATGAAGAACAAGATTGCACTTGTTGATTGTTGTGAATTGGTGATAAGATTGCACGTGTGGATTCTGGTGATTTTGGTTGTGTACTCCGGGGACTTGAACTCGCCGGCGAGGAAAGGCTGATCGAATGATACCGGTCCGGCGAACCGGAAGTGGAAGAGCGGGGAGAACCAGAGCTCGATTCGCGGCTTCTCTCGGCGGCGATGATGGCGGAGAACGCTCGCCGGGAACCCGATCCGGTTCCGCCGGAGCTCTCGCGGCCTCCCAGAGACGACCCTCTCGGCGAGAAAAACTCCTCCTCTTCCTCCTCCGCGGTTGTCGAACCCACGTCATCACTCCGCGGCGGCGCCGGCGGCGGAACTCCTCCGTACAGCGCCGGACGCGAGAGCGGGGGGAGGGGATGGAGCTCCGGCGATTCCATTTTCCGAGTAAGCAAATCGCCGCCGTCGGAATCGTCTTCGATTGCGCGGGAATTCACGACGGTGCCTAGGTAGAGAAACTCGGAGGTGCCCATGGCGGTTGGGGGAGCATTGTGCGGGAACAACCTGAGGCTGCTATCAGAAGTTGGACTCTTGTTGTCGGCGGCGTCGGCGCGGCGGTTCCGGCGGCGTCGCCGACAGTAAATTCCGGCGAAAATGGCGACGGCGAAGACGGCGCACGCGACGGCGGAGAGGGCGAGGGGGAGGAGTTTGTTAGAAGAGGAGTTAGGTTGAGGGGAGTGAGGAATAACAAGAGAGGATATGTTTGCAGGGAATGAAGCAAAGGTGGTTGGTGAAGGAGGTGGTGGTGGTGGTGGTGGTGAAGAGGGGTAAGTTGGGAAAAATGGAAATGGTGATTGGTTTGTGGTGGTTGTTGTTGTTGTGGTGGAAAATGGGTATTTGGGTTTTGGGGTTGAAGAAGAAGAAGAAGAAGGATGAGTTGAATGAGGTTTTGGTGGATCATTTGGAGAAAGAGTGTTCATTGGCACAAAGGGTTCATGGAGGATCCTTCTGTTGTTGTTGTTGTTGGTTTGAATGAGAAAGTGTTTGGAAGAGGCTAATTGCTGAGGTGCACATGATAATAATAACAAGAACAATAAAAAGGACAATAAGAGGGTTTGCATTTGATGTGTTGTTGTTCTATTGTGTGTGTGTGTTTCTTGCTATCTATGAAAGTGTGAGAGTGAATGAGGGTTTGAGAGAGAGTGGAAGAAGAAGATCTGTGGGGACTATTGTTATAAAGAGTGATGGACTGTGCACAAAGAAAGAAGAGGAGTTTTTGTGTGTGATTGTGTTTTTTTTTCAAAGGTTGAAGTTATGGTTTGTGATGAAAAAGCAGAGTGTGAATTTATGTAGTGTTGCATACAGCTAAGATTCTGCTGATCTTTCTGTCTTGCTACTTACAGGTTACTGTGCCATGCAACTTCCCACTGTTGAGGTTTTGTGTATGCCACTTAACACCAATCATTGTTTCTTCCTTTCTCTTGTCTTTTTTTCTTTCTTTTTTCTTCCTATTTTTGAACTTTTTAACATGCTCCATTCAGTTGTTTCTAGCAAAAAGAATACACATATAAAACAAAGTGACATGCAACATTCATAAAGATTTTTAGGTATATTCGGTATAAAACATTATCCTTACAATCTGACATTAAGAATTTTTTTAATCTGACATTAACTTGTTTTCAAAATAATAAGTTTAGTGGTGATTCACATAAATAATAAGGAATGCACTTAATGATACAATGTAAGTGGCATGTCTTAAATTAAAAGTATCTAAAAATTTATCTCATCACTTATCTATTTAAAATTTAATGGATTTGGATCTTCTCATGTAAAAAAATAGTCATGTGTTCATTTTATTTGATCACAATCACTCATTTATAAGTCATACATTTTTCTCTCTCTTATCTTATTATTAATGAGTGGTTGTAATCAAATAACATTATCACTTTTTTACGTGAGAGGATCCAAATTCAAAATTAATACTGAGTGTTCGAAAATCGATTTGATTCTATTTTAATTAAAGAATAAAAATGAACCAAATCAAATTAATATTAATTAATTTGTTATGTTCAAGCAAGTGTACTTGGACATAATGAGAGATCGTTTTTGAGCTTTCATGGGTGAAGGTTATATGGTGATGGCAGATGGCTTCTCTATGTGTTTAAACAAAAGAGGGAGGTGTATTTATAAATTATTGTCACACAACCGATGATAACTCAGTTGGGAGTTAAGCAGATGAGGATGAGAGTATATGTTCGATCATTTTCGATATTATCTTTGAGAGAGATTTAAAACTTTAATCTTGAATCTGTCTCAAACAGATTGCCTAGTTGTGGAATGTGAAGCTAAAATACATACATCTTAAGCCCCTCAACGAAGGTCAAGGCCCTTGCTTATATGCAGCCATGGGATGGTTAGCCATGTTCTTAGTGATTGAAGTGAGAGTAAAGAACAACCCTTTTGGGTGAATTCACTTTGAAGAGTTGTTATTTAATACGATATTTATTGATGGTGTCATACAATTTGTCTTATCGTGAGGAGTGGGTAAAGAGCTTCATGTCGAGACCACGAACCAATTCTAAACAAGTTTAGTGTGGTATGATTAGTTTTTTATCAAACATTTTTTTCTTAAATAGAAGACAAATTTGAATTATTATTTTTCTATTCATGACTTAATTAACCACAAATTAATTTAAAAATAATAATAAAGCATCATGAAAAAATGAATAATAAGTTTAAAAAGTTTCATAAAACATCAATAAGTTAAACTTTAATCATCAATAAAAATGTATATTATTCTTTTGAACATATACACTTTCATCTTAGGAAATTGTAGTATGATAATAACCGTATTATGAAATCCATGATAATAATGTAGATCAGTAGGGGTCATCTTAGGAAATTGCATGCTTGTGTCCAAAATTGTAATTTGATAGGGTGTCCTTTTCCCATTTCTTCAAAAATACACTTTGGGTTTTACTTTAAACACTGCACATTAATTAAATGTTTTTCACTTTTTAAAAAGAATAAATGGGAGCACTTTTTAATTTGGAAAAATGACAAACAAGAAAGCCGAAAGTGTACTAAATGCCTTAAAGTCCGGGGAAAGATGGTCATCAACGGAAATAATCCATTATGAAGTCAAGGTTGGATAAAGAAAAATGTGTTTAGTTCTTAGACAAATCATAAGACAGATGATTTTATTGTTTCGTTCTTGATTAGGAGAAAATTGAAACTTTAGAACGAATTATATTCACCAATGACATATTATTTTGTAAATTTTAACCACTTTAACTATTTGTAAACAAAAGGGAAAAGCCTCTTTTTTTACTTTAAAAGAATATTTTCCATTTCATTTTTATTTAACCTTAGTCTATAGTTATGATTTTCAATCAAAGTTGAACACGTCGAACGGCGTTTTGTAACACACTGATGTATTTAATAAGGGAAAAATGTTTATCATTTTAAATGACATAAAATTATGTTATTTTAAGAGAGATAGACATAAAATAATTTTTTTATTTAAAATTTAAATTAAAAAAAAACACTCACTTTCTCTCTCACATAATTTTTATTTTTTGTGTCTATCTCTCTTTTAAAATGACATAAGTTATGTCATTTAAAATAACAAACACCAAACTCATTTAATAAATATGTATAAGTAAAATTGTGAAGAACGAAAATTGAAATATAATAAATATGTATAAGTAAAATTGTGAAGAACAAAAATTGAAATATATGAGTAACATGTATTATCCTTAATTTAGCAATATGTTATCCTTAAATTCAGTCAATTTTATATATAGTTGATAAGAAATGTCATTTTGAATTTCTTTAACCAACTTATTATATATAACATCTTAATTTGAATTTTACTAGTAAGTAATTAATAGATGTGAGTTGAAAGTTAAATGAAAGAAAAAACCAAAAATAATTCGAATTCGAATTTATATTTTCAGTATTAAAATAAGATTCAAAAAATTATTTTGTCATTTAATCTAAATCAAATCAATTATTACTGATACTTTAATTGAACTTTTACTTTATTTTCATAATTATTATCAATATATACAAATATAGTAAATGATCAACTAATATCCATATAAAACAAGGAAAATAAACATATGCTATTTTGTATTATTATTTAACAGAAGATTATTTCTGTATCTGTGACAGAAATTATTTTTCTGCCTGACACAAAATAAGAGTGGGCTTTATATTAATGTCTCTCCCTCTTTTTTATGGTTGGTCTGTCTCTCTCTCTCTTTTATGGTTGCTTTCTCTCAAATATTTGTGTCTGTGACAAAAATTATATTTCTACCACAAATGCAGAAATAATTTGCCCAAGTTTCTAAAGTTTGCTCAACTAATTCACTTCTCATTGCTGCTAAAATTTTGCTACAATCACTGCATTGGCAACCAAGTCTTTTGGCTGGGGTACAACAAATACTACTTGATTCAGTTTACACAGTATATGGTTACGTACTTTGCATTATATCTCTAAAACTCAACATAAACTCATAAAGGAAAGAAGGAATAATTGTAATATTAGAAATTAAACAATTTGACAGTCACCAGATTGTGTATTTGTATTTCTCTCTTCACATCATTATTGTGGCTTTGATGGAGTTGGGGATGATGGTGGCTTCAAATCTGGGTACTGCAAAAAAAAATAAAAAATAAAAAATGATGAAACGATTCCAAAAAGTTAAAATATAAGAAAGCAGTGGCACGCAAATATTTAAGTAATAAAATATAGATGTTCACTACGGCTCTGTTTCATGTTTTAAAATCGTGCAAGCAAATATTTTAGTAATAAAATCGACTACAGTTTTTTATAGTCATTTTCCATTTTTTTCTTTATATTCGGGATATATAAAAGAGAACACAAATGAAAAGGCAAAGTTGGAGTCTCTATAAGGAAACAAATCTATGGTCTAGTGTACATGTCCATTCGAATTCTGATAAATTTAATTCATTCTTAAATTTACATAATGACGTCACTTTGAGATACCAATAGTTCTTCGCATATGATTGTTTAAGATACAATTACTATCAAGATTCAATACTTCAATCTTAAAAGTATGATTCCTCATAATTTAAAGATATTGCATAACTATTAACTACACATGAAGTGAATCCTAAACTTTGTGAATTTGCATCAGAATAGAAAGAAAACTAAAGAAACAAATAAATAACATGCCAATGATTCCTTTCTTTTCTTTTTACATCCAACAAGGTTTTCTATAATTGATATAAAGGATTTAGCCTTCAAGGATGACCTCCAAGGATTTATTTTATTCATAAAAGGAGGCTACTAAATTAGCCTTCAGGCGCCAAGAGCAACTTCATCAATGCTGTGTTTTTTACGTTATTTATTTCAGTTTGTTCTGTTTCGATTTTTTCTATTCATACAATATTAGAGTTCTGATTCCTATTCCAATCACCAAACCAAACATGAAATGGGAAATGATCATTTCCATTTCATTCCCTCTAACACCATCCACTGATGATGCAGATGCAATGGATATTGCAGATGCAATTGCAACTTAGTGGAACGCACGTGACTTACATTTAACTGATTAAGTTAAAAGCCACAGCTGTATCAGTTACAACTGACTTAGTTAGCTTAGTTAGTTTTCTGTTATTGTTTAGTTACTGATTAGTTACTTAACTCAGTTAGATTACCTTAGTTGAGTTAGTTTACTTCATTTAGTTTAGTTTTTGTTCTGTGTATATAAGCCTCTGAGGCTTCATTTGGATGTATCTTTTTCACAATTAATCAAATATTTTTCATAAGACCCTCCAACCAAATATGCAGTCATGCACTTAAGTTATATGCAGAGGATGAACTAGAAAAAACTCATTGAGGGGGGTTGCAGAATTCATATTTTAAGAGGGTTGAAATCATATTTCATAAAAATAAAACTGAAAACGAATGGTAGTTTTTGAAATTTTGAAATATTTGGCTGCAAATATGTAGTTCTGCCCATGGTTATTTGGACCCTGAAAATTTTGGCTGGATTCTGTATAATGCTAATAACCCTAAGGATTTGTATTCAGCATCTTTCAGCCTTATTATAATTTCTGACCTAAGAGGTTTCTAAACGATAGAACCTGTCTAATTATCATTCTATTTCAATAAATCCTACTTCTCTTCCCAATTTCTATCATTAAAGCCATTGTCTATCATCTTCTACCACAACAATGAGGATATTACTTCATCAATTGAAAGGAAGTCAGGTCATTATCCAGCCTAAAAAAGAATAATGAAGTAGCTAACTGTACCCAAAAGAAAGAAAGAAAGGTTAGCTGAAGCATAGCCAAACTCAATTGAATTAGTTATTTCAAGAGCAGACAGCTCCTCAAATTTTTTTTCCTATATTTCTAGGCAATCTTTGGTGAAGACATACATTTAGGGATGGCAGTCATGGCACCATGCGAGGTGGAGGCAGGGGCGGGAGGTACCTCCTCACTCCCTGTACCGAATGGGACAGTCTCAGATATATTCCCAAAGATCACCAGAGACATACATTTAAGAATTTTGGTTGTTTTTAAGGCACTGTTCTCTTCAATACCGGGTCCACCTTACAACTGTATGGCACAGGACAGATTTGGCTATTTGAAATATTGACAGAAAATAAATAGAGGAAAAGAAGCTGTTGAGATTATATAAAACCATTAATGTATCCTCACCCAATAGCTTAAGCTTTTGGGTTGAATTGGTTCTTTAACATGGTATCAGAGCTTGCGTGACCACGAGGTCACGAGTTCGATCCTCACCGCCCCCTACTTTCTCTTGTAGAATTTTCTTAGCACAGGTAGGTGGGCCTGTGCATTATCCACCCTTCAAGCCCGGTGGGCTCTCATGTGAGGGGGCGTGTTAAAGTATAATATAAACCATTAAAAAGCCCTTATCCACCAGCTTAAGCTTTTGAGTTAAATTGGTTCTTTACATGGTATCAAAACATAGCGTCCCAGGTTCGATCCTCGCTGCCCCCCACTTTCTTTCAAGTGAAATTTCTTTGTTCGCACAGGTAGGTGGGCCTGTGCATTGTTCACCCTTCAAGCCCAGTGGGCTCTCGTGTGAGGGGGGGTGTTGAGATTTGTTGAGATATATAAAACCATTGATGTAGCCTCACCCAACAGCTTAAGCTTTTGGGTTGAATTGGTTCTTTACATGGTATCAGAGCCTTGTGTCCCGGGTTCGATCCTCATCGCCCCCCACTTTCTTTCAAGTGGAATTTCTTTCTTCGCACAGGTAGGTGGGCCTGTGCATTGTCCACCCTTCAAGTCCAGTGGGCTCTTGTGTGAGGGGGCGTGTTGAGATATATAAAACCATTGATGTAGCCTCACCCAACAGCTTAAGCTTTTGGGTTGAATTGGTTCTTTACAAGATTATATAAAATCATTAATGTATCCTCACCCAATAGCTTAAGCTTTTGGATTGAAATGATTCTTTATATACTGAATGAACCTTGCAATTGGTTTATTTGTGTGAAACAATGAATTATGGTTTGTTTTGTTGTTTGGTCTCATATTTATGGTTTATGTTGTAATGAGATTGGAATAGTTTATGATTTAGGTTTCAGCAAGATGCTGGTATATTTTGTTTTCTCTAATTTTTAGTTTCGTAGTAGTTTGTTGACTTTATGATCTTTAGTCATTGTTGGACTTAAGTTTATTTTATTGTGGACATTATTACTTAATTTGGGTTGATTTATGATTTTTATTGATCTTGTAAATTTCCTTTTATCTGTTGGTATATATTTGTTTATTGTCCAATCGTAGTCAGTTTACAATTATGTTGTAAGCAAGAACTGTATTGCCTCCTAGGTGTGACCTCTAAACCCATTTTACCTTTTTTCTACTTTGGCTTCTGTTAGAGTATAATATAAACCATTAAAAAGCCCCCGCCAGCTTAAGCTTTTGGGTTGAATTGGTTCTTTACATCGTATCAGAGCCTCGCGTCCCAGATTCGAGCCTCGCCGCGAGGCAGACCAAAAGATGGACTTGTGCAGCACAAGGCAGACCAATAATGAGCTTGTGCCATATCCACGCTTCAAGCCCAAAGGGCTCTTGCGTGAGGGGGTGTGTTAGAGAATAAAATATAAAACATTAAAAAGGCCCTCACACAACACCTTAAGATTTTGGGTTGAATTGGTTCTTTACATGGTATCAGAGCCTCAGTGTACCGGGTTCGATCCTCACCGTCCTCCACTTTTTTCCTAATGGAATTTCTTTCTTCGCACAGGTAGGTGGGCCTGTGCATTGTCCACCCTTCAAGCCCAGTGGGCTCTCGTGTGAGGGGACGTGTTAAGATATATAAAATCATTAATGTAGCCTCACCCAATAACTTAAGCTTTTGGGTTGAATTGGTTCTTTATACAGTAGAAGATGATAAACAGCAATGTAATGATAAAATTTGGGAAATAAGATAAATTAAAGTGGAAAAATAATAAGAGTTAATCTAAGGTTTAGAAACCTCTCAAATTTTAAATTTTTATAATATAGCTGAAAGATGCTGAACACAACCTGTAGGATTATTTACAAATTACTAGACACAGTCCAATCATCCAAAGCCCAAAATAACCTTAAGGTCCAGCCTCATTAAAATGTCACATGTTCCTCTTGTCATGTGACAACTAATTATTTAGAAAACAGATTAAAATGAAAACAAAACAGACTGAAACAAATAATGCAAAATCTAGAGCATTAAAGATATCGCTCGTGCGTCAAGGGTGAATTTATGCTAACCTGATATATTCAAGACAAACAAACCATACCAAAGTGTGTATATTTATGGATGTATCTCTGAAACCAATGAAAAATGTATGTGCAGCTCTAGTAAGTTTGAATGGTTAATATGGCCAAAACATTGATGTCATGTGTGAACCAAAATATGATCATACACTTTTACTGCAGCAATAATTTCATGCAAATTTACAGATGGGCAGAATGATTGCAATGAGGTAAAATTTTCAAGTTGCAAATCTCAGCAATCAACATTATGACTAATTGATGGTTCTAACTTAAATTTTTAAGCATGCATTTTTAGAACATTAAGGGACACAATGAAAGAGGGAGAGAGAGTTGAGGATAACATACATTGGGATAGGGAGAGGAGGAAGCTACTGAACCAATTTTCACTTCGGGAACAGACTCTACAGACCTTTTCACATGACCATTGTCTGTCTTTTGGTTTCCATTTTCAGGGGTATCTGGGGATAAGGCACTCTCATTATTGCTAGCATTTTGCGGAATGGCTCCATTTCCATTTGTAGTGAGTTGTTGTGAAGCTTTAGTCTTTTTCCTTCTGTATATATGCACAGAAGGGGGCAAAAGAGTATCCTGTATAGCCTGCAACCACAAAGGTTCAACGTATGAACTCGATTAACTTACTTCAAATAGATTTTCCACAACCAGATACATACATTCCTCAGTTGGCATCAAGATGAAGGGTGGGAAATGAATTGCCAAAATTTCATTTTTGAATCCCTTATTTAGAACTTTCTGTATGCTCTAAAAAGTAAGAATCTTTAATAGCTACATAAGTGCTTTGATAGAAAATGAAGAATGCCAACTTACATAAATAGTTTTGTAAGGTAAGAAATATATTTATAGAATGTGGATGGAAGTTTAGTGATTTCTGATAAACAAATAACAGGCAGAAGAGAAGAGAAAGGCCATACTATCCACCCTTTCTGGCCTCTAACTCCACCTTTGATTGCATAGGCCTCTTTGAAACCATTCTTGAATAGTAACTCAGCAACTTTCATAGAATTACCGTCAAAACTACCTTACACTCAAAAGAGAAACAAGTCAGGAATTTTGTAGACATGTACAGTATGGTTAAAGAAAATGAAATTACTTCTATCAACAATGTGACTCCTATAAAGAAGTCAGAGTAATACTATAAACAGATTTTTTTTCCAATCTTTAGTAAAATGTTAATGTAAAAATTGAAGAGACAACATAGGTGAAATGTCCAAACAAAAGCCATAATTAAAACAAATCATCTTGTAGAAACAATAAAATGCAAAATTGCAGAGGTAATTTTGACCAAAAGATCTCCAAGGCACTTTCCAAGCCAGATAACCATAGTTTGAATCAGTCCTCTATTCATTCCTTCACAAGGATATATTGAAGAATGAGAAGGGGGAAATATTTTGAAAAAATCACGGCAAATACAAGCTATCTATCATGTGCAAAGTCTGCAGAAAGATTTCACATTCAAATAAAATCAAGTCAAGAGAACGGTCACAAAACTGGAATATTATCTCTCCAAATTGTATCCCCACTCCCCATAACTTAGAATAGAAACAATAGACGCTGTATCTTATTCAAATTCCAATACTAAAATTTGTTGAGACATTTATTGTATCCCAATATGAGAAAAGCCAAACACAAACAAAATGTCAATTAATTAGTTAAATAACTTCATTTAGTTGTCATTTCTTCAAGCTTCATTTTGCTCATTCTTTTTTTTTCTTTTTTTTTAATATCTTATATTCTCATTTTAAATTTTGGTGGGTAAACATATAAAGCATATCTTATCACTATGACTTAATGTCACTTAGCAGCTCTACAAAACAAAAGGGACTTCTATTGGAAATACTAGTGTTATTCCAGCATATGCCAAATTAAACAACCCGTAATATCTTCTAAATGATCAGAGACTTTTTCCATTTTCGTTCTAAACTTAAAAATGCAAAATTTTATCCTTTTTTTTTTATTTAGTTTCTGTCCATGATTAATAATTTTTATTTAGTTTCCTTTATCTACTTCATTTACACATGATTCAAAATTCAATTTCATACAGAATAAGTTCCTATAAATTGCTGCAATACAATTTCTTTCTACTTACCTATCCAAAACACAGATAACAGTGTTTGGCGCGTCCTTGAATCTCTCCAACACCTTCTTCACAAACCCATCTTCATTTTCATCAGTGAACTCAACCTGCACCACTTCCTTCTTCAAAATCTTCAAATTGGGAGACCCCAGAAACCTCACGCCCTTCCTGTCCCTTATATCCAAGAGCTGAGAATCAGGGTCATCCCGGAGCTTCCTGAATGCATCAATGGCTGAAATAAACTTGTATTTCTTGAAATACTCTTCTGTCAGAGGGATAACAACCATCCAAATGAAGGTACACCCAGCAACGAAAAATGGGTATCGATTGAAAAAGTCATCAATTGAAACCAGAATCGATTCCAAGTTGATTTTGCCTGCATATGACTCAACCAAAGTGGGAGCTGTGGCTTCAACAGCAAGGCATGAAAATGGAGTGAAGATGTCAATCATTGTAAATGAAAAACAAGAACTTGCTAAGAGAAGGTTTTGAAGTGAGTTAGAGGAATGTGTTTGGGGTGCTGCAGAAAGTGTGTTTTTCTTGGTGAAGGGAAAATGGGGTTGTTGAGAAGATGCAGAAGATAGGATTGTAGAGAGTGATGGGTTATGGTTTGAGAGAAGAGAGAAGAGTTTGAAGGAATGGAGTTTCTGGGTTTTGGTGTGGTTTTTGTTAGGGAAAGGATAAGAAGAGAGGAGTGGAGAAAGTGAATCCATGAGAGGGTGCGAAATGCATACACCTCACTAAAGGTACTCTGAAAAAGGATCGAGAAATACATCTTATTCTTATCTAGGTATTTATAAATTATGCGATAGTGTATTATGTTTAGGGATAGGATATTGTGACATCTAAGTTATGTTACACTCATGTGACACTCAGTCAATCTCACCGTTAGATTGTTTATGTTGATCCAACGGTTATATTTATTTCCATCTTTGTAAGGTCATGATTTCCAAAATTTAAAGTGAAAGCATTGAATATGGGAAATCATAATTATACAAAGGTAGAAATAAATATAAAATATTAAATTTAGGAAATCATGACCATACAAAGATGAAAATAATGGATTAATATAAGCGATCTAACGGTGAGATTGACTGGGTGTCACATGGGTGTAACATAACTTGGGTGTCACAATATCGTATCGTTTAACTTTTTTTTTTTTATGCTTATTCTTCCTACCATTACATTAGAATTTATTTTATTTTTTGATAACATACATTAGAATTTTAAGAGGAGAGTGTGAAAGTAAATTAATTAAAATTTTGATCGGAGATAAATAGATAGAATTGATATGAAAAAATGTAGGTATAATATCTTATCTCTTAATTTATATATCAAAAAATATAACACATAATCCTGAAGGTATAGTTCAATTGATAAGTATATTGTAGCTCAAGAGTTAGACTCTGGTTGGTGGGGGATGAAGTTATGGGTTCGATTCCTATAATAAGTACTTTGGGGTCGTTGGTGAAAACATTTTCACTCCAAGCCGCAAAGGGATCAATCTCATCATATAGGATGGAAACACTATGAGTTTATATATATATATATATATATATATATATATATATATAGGATTTAATGTTTGTCATTTAAAAAGATGATCCTATTAGATGAATGAAGTGTATTTTTTTAAATTTTAAATTACAAAATTTTTCCTTCACTTTCTCTCCCTCATAACTTGTTCCTTTATCTCTCTTAAAAGGATATAAGTGTGTGTCCTTTTAACACTTTTCCCATATATATATATATATATATATATATATATATATATATATATGAAAAGTTATATTTATAAAAAATTTATTTAAAAATTTTGAGTGAAGTGATAGTTGACTTAACAAATCAATCATAGTGACTTAACAAACCAATCTTTTAAAGATGGATAATTTATTTTGTATTTACTAATTGCTAATATTATGATTTATCATAGTAATTTTCTTGGAACGATGATAGTTGCAATTAAAAGAGAGCTAATTTACTAGTTTATCAATTGGTTAAAGTCGGTAAAACAAAAGAGTTATGTAACGCTATATTGTAGGATTTTTAGGAGCTTTTCACAATAATAAATGTGGTATTCGGATTGCCCGCAGCCCAAATTGAATTGAAGGGTGGTGCAGTTGTACTACAGTTGCTCTTTTTTTATATACTACAATTTTTTTTTTATTTCATATAAAAAAAATTCATGGTGAGGTTTCTCTCCTTCAATAAGCATCATATAGTTAAAAAAAATACTAATAATTTATATAATTAAAAAAAATACGCCATTAAAAAAATCTTATTTTAAAAGAACTTAAGAATTTTTCTATTTAAGTTAGTTCAGTTATTCAAAATAAAGAGTCAGTAATTGTTGTTGTTGTTGCTTAAAGGATGAAGTGCGGATCAAACGATAAACTTATATAATCTTCATTCTTCACTCACTGAATTTTGCAGTAATGGTATTCATAATTCTTATTAATTCTTAAAATAGAATTGCTGTAGTTAAAACCTGCTCTAATAAACCTTACAGGATCAATGCTAAATTCAACACCAGATATTTTCTACATTATTATGACTTCTTTCCTGTACAAGATGTATGGATTTTGTACCTGCTAGAAACCGGATTTGAGATATATGCTGATCAAGGTTTTTTTTCCAAACTGTTTAGTAGATCTTCCATGCATGCTTTGTAAGCTTCCATGCCTGGAACATGCTTTGCAATGTCTAAGCCTATGGTCATCCATTTTTTGCCCACTTCAATTTGACCCAATCTCACTGGCACTGCTGCTCGGTTCCAGGCAGTCATGGCAAGCCACTTTCCTTCTTCAATTGGATACTCATCTTCCTTCAAACCAACCATAATCCCGTAGGCTTGCTTGTACATGCCATATACAAAATCATCATCTTTATCACCCTTGTGAATGCTGGCAATGGCTATAAGCTTGCGAACAACAAGAGCAACATTTTGATAATCTGGAACTGGTGATGAGAGGAAAGATGAGAGGCACTCGTTTAGAGCAAAGGTGGCTACTTCGTGATTAGACCGTGGTCCCTGTGAGGCAGAGAGACCTATTTGAAGGAGGTACTGGGGTTTGCAAGCCTTTGAACTGGCAAAACTTCTCACACTGAGGAGTTGTGATCCTAAGTCATTCAGCCTGCCTTGTATATCATAAGCACAGAAAGTGTATATGAAGAAAAGGTCAGGTTCAATGGTGTTAATTTGGTCATCATTAACAGAGTTCCCAGCTGAAATTGACTTTAGCATCTGCATCCACATAACAGGGAGCAAGTAAATATTCAGCAGAACTCAAAATTAAAATATAACCTACACTCCTACAGGAATTACTTTTGATACTATGATGCATCTTATTTTATGTATCTAGTCAACTTGACCCATTTGCAAAAGATTGATGCGTCAAGCACCACGTAATGAAGAAAACAACATTTTCATACCTGTCCCGCTCTATCTAGCAAATGTACAGCTTGCTTGACTTCAGTTTCTGACAAAGCTGTCTTCCTTTGAAATTCTAAAGCTATCATCGAAGATGCAGAAAGTGTTAACGATTTACAAACCATGACATTGTTCTCATTATCAGACCCTTCAACTAGGGCATAAAAATCTGATGCCAGTCTTAAGAACTCAACAGACAATTCAAAGTTCTTATCCTGCCCTGTTTTTGTACCAAAGTTCCATGAAGTCACAGCAAACCAATTCCGCTCCCGTCTTCCAACCTCCTCTTTCCCAAAGAAGTAATCAGGACCAAGCTCAGTTGCTCGTGTATGGGCATGTTTTAGGAATTTGAGAACTTGCTGCTCATTACCCTGTTCTTGAGAGAGGACTGTCAACAAGGTGCGCAGAACTGTTACTTCTGCTGTTGACATGGACTTTCCTGAAGCATAGAAGTTTAGCATACTTGATAAGGAGGCAACAGCAACAGGTAGAGCATGGCAAGCAACAGCTTCATGGGCTGAAAGTGAGAGAAAATCTGGTTGAAAGTCAAGGCACGTTGTCATCGCTTCAATTTGAGAAGTAGCTCCTTGGTGGTCATTCTTTTGGAGATAAATTTTGAACTGGGTTAAAACAAATGAGATAAGTTCTCATGTCATTCCAATTACAAACGTTATCCTTATGAGAAGCACGTGGGTTTAGTTGTAAGCCGTAACCAGCTTAAAGCATGACATAGGAAATCAAATGTAGAGTCTTCGTAGGATCCAAACATATCGGAAAGCATTATAAATTTGTCTGCTGTTTTAGGCCACCTATATTTATGGATACATATTTATACAGAAGCACCAACAAACACGGACAGAGAGAGAGAGATGGTACCTTCAGAAAAGCACAGACAATGTTGGGCTCAAGCTGCAGAGATGGAATAGCATGGATAATATACTCATATTTCATATTTGAGTGAAAATTAATGCAACAAATTCAAAATTCTAATTGTCAACAACAATACCTTTTCAGCCTCATTGATGTATTCCTGAGCACGATCCAACTGCAAGAGACCAAGGTGGCAGAGACACAAAACTCTGAAGCCCTTGGCTCGAAGTACCCTGTTCTCTGTATCATATGAAATATACAGCATTGATTTTTCAAAAAGTTCTGCACTGGTCTCATAATCTTTTGATTGAAAATTATCAGCACCGCTGAAAATCACACATAAGTATTGAGATCAGCGGGTTCATTTGGACATAAATCATGTATTCAAATCAATAATAATCTTGCAGCACATCATAATACATAAACAGTCCTGAATTTGAAGTTTAACTGTTCAAGACACACCACCCCACAATGTCACACTGTAAAAGGCACAAACCATATTCAAATGTACGCAACTACACAGCTAGCAGAAGAAACAGATTAGGAATGGATCAAAGAGTTATACCAATTCCAGAGAACAGAATGCATTGCCACCTTATCCTTAGCAGCTTCCTTACCAGCAAAGAGCGCCAACACCCTTTCATCAGACACAAGCTCAGCAACCACTTTGGCCCTTACTCTTGCTCCTTCACCACCACCACCGATCACCCTGTGCGCCACCCTCACCGCCGCACCGGCACTAATATGGCACCTCCCCAACAGCCCTAAAAACACCCCTTTGGCAGTCTCCGCCCCCGCCGTCCCCGCCGCAGCATAATACGCCTCCACTGCCGACACCCAAACTCCTTCCGGAATCCCTCGGTCGATCACCATTCCCCTCAATTCCCTCTCCGCTTCAACATGCCTCCCCAACCCTAACCAAGCTTTCATAGCCAACACCGAAAGGCTCGGATGATCATCACCACCATCAGCAGAATCTCTCAGAACCTTCACACACTTAATCACACTCTCAAATTCCTCCTTCTGCAAATGTATCGCGGCGATGAATCTCAACACCTTCCACCTCAACCCTCTGATCTCCACCTTATCTTCCCGTGTTCTCGCCACACCGAATCCCTTCTCGCAATTCTCCAACGCCTCGTTCATCAGCTTCAACGCTTCGCTCAAATCGCGATTAGAGTCTTCGCTGCACTTTGACAACGAGCTTTTGCCGAACGCCATGAACTGCTTCGCGAGCTCTTTGTAGTGCTCGCATGAACCAAAGAGCAAGCTCTTGCTTCTGTTCAACAGCGCCACTGCGAGGTTCTGGTCCCGAGCCTCCCATGCGGTTCGGGATCGAGCCAGGTTTAGATCCAGCAACAGTTTTCGCTCTCCGGCGTCGGAGATTGAAGCAATGTCGAGCTTGGAGACCAGATCCGTGGCTCGCTCGAAGCATTTGTTAGCCAGATCGAATTTCTGGAGATTGTGCCATATCAGACCGGTCTTGTAGTAGAACGATAACGATTTGATCGCAGGAGAGGGGACACCGGCAACTTCGCCGGCGATAGAGAGGAGGTCGGCGGTAATGTGCCGAAGTTCGGCTTGGTTTTCGTCTGCGGCAACGGTGACGGAGGAGCAGCGTATGGATGTGGTGTTGGAAATGTCGACGCAGGCGTTCCAGAGGCGGTAGCTGAGCTTCCAAATCTGAAGCTTCAGGGAGTTGGAAAACGGAGCAAGTTGACCCAGCTGAGTCAGGCATTGCCGGAGATCGGCGGCGACGGTCCCCGGTGGAGGTTTGTCGGCGGAGTGGGATTCAAGTTGCTTGACAGTTACCTCGATTTGAGAGAGGAGACGATGGGGAGCCTCTACATCTCGGTTAATTCGCCGGAGCTCCGGCGAGGATATCTCAGCAATTCTCATTTTGTTTGGCGGGAAATTTGTAAAGACTGGTTTTTCTTTATCGCCTTTGGTAAAAATTATGTTTTAGTGAAAAATTTCCAATTAAATTATATGAAAATTAAAAAATAAATATAATAGTTAAACTAAATTTACCGAATTTCATAAATTAAAAGTTCTGTTATTTACACTTATTAAAATGTTAATGCTTATAAAATATTTTTTATCTTAATTCAATTAGAATTTAACTATACAATATATGGAAAAACACTTTCTCTTTTAATAGGAGAATCATTTTCTCATATTAATATTTTTTTTATTTTATGGTGGGATCCATCTAAGTTATGTATATGCAAAAAAAAAATTAATTTCATGTTAAATAAAATATGCAAAGCCCCTAATATATACAGGGGAATTATTTCTTGATGTTGCACGAAAACAATTTCCCAATCCTGCACATGCATACGATGATGCAAAATTTTATTGATAGTTAAAATAATGGACTTTTTTTTTTCAGCATAACATAAATTTGTTATGCAACATTATTTTTGTTGAGCAGGAATATTCTAACTACCAAAATTTTTTACTATCAACTTACTACCTATCTAATCATCATTCGATTAACATTTTCTCTCTTTCTAAAAGTTTTTTAACATTATCCCTCTTTGATCCAATGGTGATATGATAGGTAGTAAGTTAGTAGTAAGAATTTTTGATAGTTAAAATATCCTCACTCATTTTTGTAATATATATATATATATATATATATATATATATATATATTGGAAAAAATATTTCTCCGGCAACTTGAGATGAGTTTATCTCCTACCACCTCAAAACAACGTCGTTTTATTTATTTATTTCTTTATATTAATTTATTCATCTTTGAATGGTTATGATTATCTTTTTTTCTCTCTTCTTTTATCACCATTGATCCATCTTTGTATGGTTATGATTTATTGCCGGAGATAAAGTTATCTCCGGCAGCTTATATATATATATATATATATATATATATATATATACATATATATATATATATATATATATGTATATATGTATATTGGGAAGATATTCTTACTACCAAAATTTTTTTTTTTTTTTTTGATAACATTACCAAAATTTTTAACTACTAACTTACTACCTATCTAATCATCGTTGGATCAAAGAGAGAGAATGCTAAAAAGTTTTGGAAAAAAAAAATTGTTGATCTAATGGTGATTAGATATGTAATGAGTTGGGAGTAAAAATTTTTAGTAATAAGAATATCTCTCCTTTTATATATATATATATATATATATATATATATATATATATATCTATCGAAGAGTTACATACATAATAAAATTATATCTCACCTGTGTTTTTCCCCTCTCCTTTTGTGGGTAGATCTCACTTATAATTTTGTTTATGCTACATGAGATATAATTTTTCTCTTTAGCAGAAAAATTGATTTTTGATATATATATATATATATATATATATATATATATGGGAAAACATTTTCTCATGTCGTAGGAGAGTTGTTTTTTCCTACTAGTGACCCTTCGATTTTCGTGCAATATTTATTTTTATTTTTTTTTATTTTTTTAATAGATGTGGACCCCACATAAGATGTGTCTATAACATGAGAAAATTTTCTCCTACCGCATGAGAAAATCGAAACCCTATATATATATATATATATATATATATATATATATATATAATTAGAGAAATCATACTTTTACGTGAGATTGATCTCTTATACTGCACTCATATAGAAAAAATGTGCATTTTTTTTTAAATCAATGGACTCCACTTTATTTATATCTACACATAAGAGAACATATCTCCAATTACATAAGAAAATTAATCGCGTGTAATTATGATATGATTTACTTACCCCACTTTTAGATTTTAAATATGATTTGGTGCCTTTAATATTTACAAGGGAAATCATTTTACTATGCTACATGAGAGAATTATCTCATGTAGCAGAGACAAATTACAATATTATAGATGGGACCCACAAAACAAGAGAAAAGAGAAAAAATAGAGATGAGACCCATTTCGATTTTGTGTGTGTAGGAATTTAACTTCTGTAATGTGAAATAATAGAAATATAACCCCATTTACAAATTCCATTTTCTCTTGATCAAAAGGTTGTTAGAGGGTATTTTGGTACTTCCAGACGTTGTTAAAAAAATATAGAAGGAAAACCTAATTCCGCCATTGTTACAGAGTGCCTCTCTCGCTCTATATACGAAACCTGGAGCATCATCATCATCATCTCTCTCTCTCTACAATCGCGAATGGAAGGGTTGAAGGTCTCAAATGCTAATTTAGTTGTATACGTTCATCCTTCTAAAAGCAAACAAGTTTCCCAAGCCGTTCTCCGTGAACTGAGCTCTTTGCTTTTCAAGTGCGTTTTCATACGCCATTCACTACTATTCCACTATATCTTAGCTTCAATTACTTCCAGATTTTCAAATGTCATCAAAAACGTCACCGTTTCAACATCTCATCAACAACGTGATTATGCTTGCTTGCAGGTTCAGCGAAGCCTTCGACGGCGTCGTCTTGGCTTACGATGTGAACTCATTGGACAAGTGCGCAAAGATACTTCCCGGTGTTCATCCTTATTTCGGTGTTAAACTAAAGGTTAATTTGTTACTTTTTTCTCCCAAGCCAGATATGCTTTTAGGTAACTATTTTTCTTGTTATTTGGTTGAGAAAAATTAAAAAAAAAAAAAAATTGTTAATTTTTAATTATATTTTGTTGCTTTCAGAAGGGAAAGTAGTTAAACTTACACAAGAGTCCATTCATGTTGTGGTGCTTGGTTTTTCTTCTGCGATTATATCTGAGAAAGACATTAGGAAAGAGTTTGTGTACAAAAATGTGAGTGCCTCACAAGAATTGTTCAATAGTTGCTACTGTCCAATTTATGAATATAACTGTTGTTGCTGCGTGATTTCTTGTAGAAACATGACCAAGATGTTTATGCCAGCAACTCTCACAAGCGACATTTGATAAAGGTTGGAACCATGATCCGGTTTTTGGTCAAGAGGTGATTGTACTCTTAGATTACTTCCTCTGTTTCTTTTCTCTAATCTTCACTCTACGGCTCAATTTTTTTGGAATTGATTGTGTCTTTAAATTTGAAGGGGAGCCTTGGCACGACGGTATGGAGTTCATAGGTTCAATTCATGTAATTAGCCTCTTGCAAATGCAAGGTAAGGCTGCTTACTATTGACTCACACAAATGGGTCTAGCCCTTCTCTGAACCCTGCATATAGCGGGAGCTCTATAATACCAGGATGTCCATAATAATAATAATAATATTGTTTCTTGAAATTTAGATATCTGTGTTAAGTTAACCATCCCTTAAGATGGGAAGCGCTGCTTATCTTAATTGACACAATGAAGAAACACCTTCTACACATTTGTGTGAGTAGTATCTAGTAAGTAATGAGTAATAACTGTTTACAACTGTATCGTTAGCTGTATCTGAACTTATTGGAAAACATTTTAAATGAAATCATCTTCGTAGTTATGCTCAGATTAGACTTATTGCTTGTATGGTTATGCATTTGTGGAGCCATTTTATTGAACTAATTAAAGTGGACACTACTACCATCTTGTTTATTGATAGTATAAATTAGTTTTACAATGACCCTGGAAAAGTTTTAAACTCATAAGGGTTATGAGTTCAATGTTTCATCTCATGATTAATTTTTATGATAAATTTTTGCAGTTTTGATGAGGAAATACTTCATGTGTATGGATCCTTGATTCCAGATCACACGGGCAGCATTTATTGGTTGGATAAGAACTTGGAAGTTGTTTCCCATACTGACAGGTTTTTCTCTTCTGACCCTATTCATGGGATCAAAAGAATACTTTTTAAAGTATATATATTTGTGCTTAGATGTCTTAGAAAACTGTACAGGAGTGCAAAGAAGAGAGAAAGTGAGGGAGAACAAAAAATGCTGGAGAAAGATGCTGCAGATGGGAATCCGTCAACCTTGGTCACTGTCCAAAAAATAAAAAATTCAAAGAAGCAAAAAATCAGAGAGGAATCTTGAATGTAGCATCAGAATATTATTTTGTAATGCAATTTATATTCACAGGTATGTTTTCTATTTTTAACAAAAGTATTATATAACAAATGCGTAGAAATTTGATGAAGATGATGATGTCCAGTTCAGTGACTATGTTTCTGCATTAAGTTTTTGACAATATAACTTTTGTTTTCATATGTCTGAGATTTAAAAGCTTCAACACTCAACACTAAAAGAAAGGAATCGTGTTTATATTCAATGAATGTCTGACTCCAGTATACTCACTAGGACAACTTTCACGTCATTAGGGTGAAAGGAAGAAATAACAACATGTGTAGAATAATATTTCCTCCAAAACAGCGAAAAATAAATACAAGGAACAAGAAAAAACTCAAGAATGAGTGAAGGCTACTCACTCTCCGCCTGAAATAGATCCCCCCTTGGAAGAAAACAAAACAGAAGCCAGAAAATATATCTGATCTCATAACTAATTTAGGGGTAAAGAGACAACATTAAAGTTGTGAGCATTCTACTCCAACCAGGTGCACCAAAGGGTTGCAAACACTGCACAGCAGCTTTGTTTTAATCAAAGACTTTAGAATGAAAAAAATCTTAATATTAAATATGTCTTCTTTTAGAGAAGGGCAAATCCCGGTGTACTAGGCTCCCCAACTTGGTGAGGACAAGGGTGAGAGTCAATTGTACTCAGCATCATCCTTGCATTTTCGCAAAGATGTTTTCTATATTCGTATATAGAGGAATAACTTTACCAATGCTCCAAGGCTTGCCCTTATATCTTCTTTTCTAGAGAAAAAAATAATAAAAGTCAGCATCAAACTCTTTTTAAACATGTTTGAACCAATTAAGGACAGACATGGCTGGAGCAGTTAATTATACTAGAGATAGAATGACTCTTTAGTTACTTATCCAGGGCTGCAGTCGCCACTTCACTTGGGGATTTTATTTATATAATGCTGAAATACATGAAAAGTATAAATTAGCAGATCAAGTAAAGATATCATCTTTAATCAACAAAACCCATTATGCAACGGCGGTGGTCCCTAATTAAAAATGCATGGATGAGATATTTCATACCCATTAGGAATTTGCAGTGAAGAGAAAAGTGAGGGTAAAGACAAAATTCATAGGATGCCTTAAATGAACATGGAAATTTGTGTTTATAAGAGGATATCTCAGTTTTAAGTGTTTTAGAATGAAAGAGGATGGTTTTATGGGTCTAAGTTAAAGCGTGGAGGACACAAGGGTAAGGAAGTTAGCATTCCCCTTCTATATATAATGTTAGTGTTATAGATAGATGTAGATATGTTTTCTATTTCTTTGTTGTCTTAAGGTCTAAAAACGGTCCTTCTTCATTTTTTGGAAGTGTATATTATTTTTTTTAATATTACAATGTAAACTATTTTTTCTTTTTATGATTAGGCTAACGTTGTAATATTGAAAAAAATTGAACCCAAGTAAAATATGTTTAATGTTCAACATAATGCATGCCACAATTTGATGTTGTGTGCACCCCTTGGTGTTACATTACTTGGTTCATTATAAAACACTACTGTGTTGTACAATTCGCATTGCTGTTGAAACTGATTTTTAGAGTCTCTTGTGCTCACTATTTTTTATTTTAGTCTTGGTTGCATCTGAATCATAGCTCGAGATGAGGCTTTTAAGATTGGATAATTATCTAAATTCAAATTTTTTCATACTTCTAAGTTCTAACTGAATTTAAATTTCCAGCATCTACATTTGTATAACTTTAGAGTATCTTTCTGGAGAGTTATTAATGGCTATAATCCGATTAATGGAAATGCAAAGTATCTAAGTATATGTGTTGCAGAGTTTGGACTTGCCATCTAATGTCAAGTATATTACATTTTTTTTAAGGACTTCCGACAGGGAAAACAAATTGGCATGTCTTCATTGATGGGGGGATGCATTTGCCTTTGGATTTCTGGAAGGATTCTCAAAGTTGCCAGGGACATAGGTGCACTAGTTGTTTCATTAGGTCACACTTCTTTCAGAATGTGTAAGATGGTAACTTGAGGAACCTTGCTTGTTGTATGTTTACTCTGTGATATGAGAAGCAATGGGGCCTTTTGTTCTTTTTCTTTTTTGATACAAAGTCTTGGTGCATTTTTAGTTTAGAAATTGAGGGGTTGCTGTATTTTCCTGTTATTAACAGCTTGAATTCTTTAGTGAGAAATATCCATGTATATTACTGAGGCCCTTATTTATAAAGGATAGCAAGAATGGTGAATTAGTAACTTAAAAGTTTGAAAAGTTTGCCTATTTTTCTTGGTTTGATCATATCAGATGATTATAAAGCTTTGTAGATTATTATAAAGCTTTTTTGTGTGACAATTTGACTAGATAGATGTCGATAGCCCTTCTCTCCTTAAATCTGGTGTCCTTTTATGTATATTTCGGAGCATATGAAGTCACAAATTCGTCGTAGTTTGTCAATTTCTTCTACAGGAAATATGATTGTTATTTGGATTTCCAGTCATAATGTTGATGAACTTATGTTAGTTTGGACTTTGGACGGCAACAAGAGCACATCTTTACAAGAATGTGAGTGAAGAGCTAACAAAGATAATAAGAAGTGTACTTGAAAGAGTTAAATGTAGAGATATAATAGTTTATTTAACGATTGAGATTGTGATAAAATATATGTACATGTATAATAAATTGTGAAATTGCTTAAATTTACCTGTTCAATTAATGATAATAATTTCATATTTTATCTTTTAAAGTATACTCTCTCCACTTTAGAGGAGAGCTGAATCTCATTAGGTGGTGATTTTGGTTTTTGATTTATAAAAGTGCTCGTGCGTGAAGGGTACGTCCCTTTTTTTCTTTTTTAGTAAACAGGCTACGTCCCTTTATGGGGAGGAGGGGACCCCTAAAATGAAATCCAAGCTTTTTTATTTAAAAGCTCAGGATAAGCATTAAAACAAAAGCTTCTACAAGAGAAAAGTTTTTTTTTTATTTAATTCTACACGAAAAAGCTTTAGGTAAAAGCTTAATTTAGGTCCCGCATCCTTTACCGAAAGAAACACTCGAAAATATTTGTCCTGCCCTTTTTTTTTTTTGTCCAAACAATGTTCTTTTTAAGCCACCCTCCTAACTTTTATATTTGCCAGTTTCCAGTTATACTTTTTGTTTATGCCGTGTGAAATGAAATTTTAAAATATGCTAAAAGCAATTAATTCAATAAACTCCACACCCCCCCCCCCCCCCCTCTTTTTTTTTGGAGCACTTATCAAAACATGTAAATCTCTTGTACATTCGGTGTATTAACTTAAATATTACATCAAACACAACTAAAATTAAAGTAATCTTAAGTTTGTAAGATTGTGGAATAAAATGAAGGACTTTATGTATAACATGTCACAGGACAAAAATAACATTTTCTGCAGACACAATAAACTGGTGGGGTCCACCAATTTATTTTTCTCACTCCTCAATTTATTTTCTCTGTCCTCATTATTGTCTCTGCTGGAAACGTTTACTCTATCCTACAACATTATTGTTGTATTTCCCTAAAATGAATGATAACAAAATTGTGAATAATTTTTTTCCTTTTTCAAACAAATTCGATTCATGTTCATTAACATTTAATTCCTTAATTACTAAGATTACTTTGATTAAAAGTATCTTAGATGAGACTATAACCCCGTAATAGTGGCCCACATAAGCTTAGAGGGGTAAAAGTTAGATTAAGGAGACTGGCTTAACGCCCTTTAGCACCCACAAGTGCGCTTTAGCGTGCTCTCCCTCTAATTTTGCGTCTGAGTAATGCGCAACGCTCAATAGCTCGTTGTAGTGCATATAACAGGTACTTACCTTGCATTTACAGTGCTATAACGCCTTATAGCATGTAGCCCCTTCAATTTGGGTGATCCTTGACTTAGCGCGTGCTAGGGACCTCAAGCATGCTATAGCACGCTCGAGTGGGTCTTTTTCTAACTTCTAAGCTAGCTTAAGCACCTTCCAGCACCCTGTAGCACTCTCAAAGAGAGAGATTTTGTCCTTAGCGTGCTAAACTCGAATTTGAAGTCTTCCGGTTGGTGTCTTTGACCTCTTCCAAGGGCATAGACACTCTTCATCCACCTAGGAAACCATACCATCAATTCCATCCATGGATTAATTGTTCTTGGCATTTAACCATCAAATTCATTACTAAGTATTGATCTTGATAGAAGTATTATCAAAAGTCAAGACTTTACTACACATGGCTGCACATTTACATATATATACCATTGAGACCACACATACAACTCATTACATATGGCATCCAATCATATATTTCAAAAAAGTGGTCCTAACATGCTACTAACATCAAACCAGCCAACTCAAAAGAATAAGGACTCTCATGCACTAAATGAGTTTCTTTCCCTGAGAAGTCCTAGCTCCTTCACCTGTTGTACCTAAAACATAATTCCCAAAAGGGGTGAGATAACAATCTCAAAAAATTCAGGGTCCTTGGAGGATTTCTCCACCCTTGAGTTCACTTTCCTACAAGAAAGGTCAGAGCATATGGCATAGTCTAATAATAGAAACCAACAACAATAGTGAAATAACTACACTCGTGCACCTAGTGCACGAGGACTATTCCAATGAGTTGTACCTCAAAGCTAATGTTTGTATGGAAGTTCCAAGAGCCGTACCTCTTAGGATAAATCCCCAAGGAAAGTCTATACCCATTCTATTGATCAATAAACCTATTCCATCAATTCATAATATAATGGCTAACAGATTAAAGCACATCATATTAAGCAACTAATTGCATACCAAGTCTACATGAATGCAACTATATCATAGTTCTAACAACCAATCACTCAATCAAGCAATTAACCAACACTCACAATGAGTGTGGTGGAACACCAATAGGGATTGATCTCAAGGTCCAAGAATTTACCTTTTAAAGTTAAACTATCCCAAGTCTCTTCATTTGTTCCAATATCCAATAACACCAATTCACCAAGAATCACCTATTATAAGTAATCATTCCAATCAACAACATATTTCACATATGAATTCACTGAAACCATTACTCAAACCATCATTTACCAAGGAAAAAACACTTACCCACAATCTTCAAGTTTCAAGGACCAAGCCCTAACTCAAGGAGGGCTCCAATGGTGATTCCAATCCAAAATCACCACCAGAATAAATACTCCTATATCAGTATACACTAAATACCCAACAATTTCATCATATTACAATCTAATAAAAAAAAACCCAAACTGATGAAACCCTAGGTTATAGAATTCTCAAAGAACTCAAAGAAAATTCACGGTTTCTTACCTCCAACCTTGTAGGCATCAAAAGAGTGGAGCTCCAAGCTCTAATGGAGGAAAACCCTTCTTTTTCTCTCCTCCAAGGTGGCGCCCCAAACTCAATGAAATGGGTTTCTTTTTCTTCTTAACTCATTTGCTTCTTTAGTTCCTATGATGGGTTGGGTGTAAGATGAAAGTAGTAAGGAGGTTGAGGTATGGTGACTTGGCCTTTCTTGGCCTCTTGGTGGACCAAGAAAATGGGAGGAGATGGAACTTGATATTTTGGAGAGGGAGGAAAATGTTAACCTTGGGAGAAAGAAGAGAATGGGAAAGGAAAAGCAAGAAATATCTTTTGACTCAAATATCTCAAAGGGAAATACCATTCTACCCCTTCTTAATTCTACACACTTACTAATACCCACTTTAAGCTCCTAATTTTATGATTTTTCGGCTACTTGGGTTTAGGTAAGATGTATCACCCTTAATTTATTTTGAGTTTTTACTAACTTTGCAAAATTGTATTTTAATCTCAAAACTTTTAATATTTACACTTTTATCCCGAAAAGTGTCTTAATTTAAAGTTTGACTTTTTCATCTAATTAACCATCTAATTACACATTAATCTCTAATAAATATAATTTAATTATTTAGATTATTATAAAACTAACTGCACAAGAGGCAAGAACTAGGAGACTATATTCTATCTATTACAAATCCCTTATGCAGAAAAGATAATTGACCAGGAGCATGGTGGTTAAAATCTGATTTAAATCTGTGATTTTTTGATTTTTTTTTTAATCAAAATGATTTCATCAAAATTCCAAATGCTTTTACGTTTTTACGATTTTTTACGATTTTTTTTACGTTAGAATTTTATGTTTTATGATTTTTTATCCTCCACCCGATTTTAGGTAAAATTTCAGTTTTAACTACCATGACCGGGAGCCTTCATTCGATCTCCATGTTTGGAAACTAATCCACAGATTATGCATTTAACCTTAGAGTTAGGATATTCTTACTACCAATTTTTTTTACTACCACTCTAATCACCATTAGATTAGAGGAAAAGTTGAATGAAGAGAGAGAAAAGAAAAATAACTTTTGATCCAATGGTGATTAAAGTGGTAGTAGAATGGTAGTAGAAAAAATTGATAGTCAAAATATCCTACCTCTTAACCTTATTAATATTTGGTTTGGTGGCGGTTGGACTGAATCTTTCTTTGACTTTAATTCAAAGCATTGTGAATTTGTTATCTATTCGGTGTCTTTACTTGAGCTTTGTTATTTATTGAATCCAAATGAAATTATTAAGATATTACATGGATTGGGCTAGAATAATTTAACGAGGTTGATTTAGTGGTAAAAAATGGGTACTTCTAGATTAATTATTTAGATTTTAATTTTGTTTAAAAAAGTGTATCTTAACAATTGTTTAAGAGAAGATAGCTTATTCTCAACATATCTAAAAAAAAGCAATGAATTTATAAAAAGTTTAATATTTCTGCTTTTATTACAAAATAAAAAATAAAAAAAATATGTCACATTCATATAAAAATAAATTGGGCCCATTATATTTCATTGACATTTTTTCTCTCTATCTATTATAATAAAATTTATTTATTTTTATATGAGCGTAACAGATCGAAAAAAAAAAAAAAAATCTATAATAAAAGCATAAACATTTTTCTTAGAAAATTTCATCTTGTTGTAAAAGAAATCTCATTCTTTCGTGTCTTAGATCTAAGTCCTCTATATCTAATCCCTAGCTCCCAATGTAGTATTGCTTTTCTCGTCTTCATATTTTTTCTGTTATGACTTGAGGTCGTCCTGCTTTCGATTTTTCAACTGTTTTTTTTTTTTTTTTTTGTCTTTATTTGCGACATGGTTTTGTCATTACTGATTCAAACTTTCAACTTTTCATTCTTTTTAAAGAGTTAAAACATATTTAATAATATTATTTTGTTTTTGGTAAATT